AAACGATTTATATATGGATGGAAAGAAGTTGTACTACCAACTCACTTCTCTTTGGGAAGAAGAAGAGAAGCTGCACCGGGGAGGCCACCGGAATAGACAGAAGAAAAGAAAACCAGATACAAGTGAAGAGAAGAGCAAGCTGTGTGCACAGCTCAGAAAAATAATGTAATAGCCAAAAAATGCAGCAGTGGGTTGTTATGTAACAGTAACATCCCACTGCTGCAAATACCCGTATTGCCTTCAGGCAGGGGAGGGTTGAAAATAAAATAAATAAAATAAAATAATAATGGTATTGTAAACTATAAACAAACACGTAGATTAAGATAGGAAAAGATATACATGTATATTCATTGAGGAATGTAAAAAATAAAATACATCCAAAATATACACAATCTTGTAGATGTGAAAAAAATGGATAAAACAACAAACATTCTCAATTATTTTTTATGCATCATATCACAGTGCTATACCAAAAGTGATAATTCATATATTACTGAGTCTTTCCAATTTATAAATAATAAACAAAAAATAAAATAAAATAATGGTGCATAAAAATAAAAATAAATAAATTATCCTTGTTGCATAATATATAATTAACCAGCGTCTGATTGGATTGTGAAGAGGAATTGAAATAAGAGTGTGAATGTGGATGAGAATAGTTCATGCCGGATTTTATGTGGGATGGAATTCTAAAAGATGGCGGAGCGACAATGAAGGACTAGTGAACAGGGAGTAGATAGATGATTTAAATTGGAGGAAATTGTATACATAGGACGGGCGATGATTGTTGATTATTGACAATACACTATAAATTTATTTTATTTTGCATTTAGATAAAGCTTCTGGTTATTTAAAAAAAAATAACAACAAACAATTAAAAAATAAACAATTGTTATTAAAAATTAAGAAATGCAAATCTCATTACCTGTCTTGAATGAAAAAAGGTCGGTTTTGAAAATAAAGTTATTTTCACATCACTTTATAAAATATTTACGTTCGTTGTTGAAAAAAATAGTTGTACCATCGGTTTCCATCTATATGCGCAATTTTTTAATCTAAATTTTAGGAACCATAATAATGCCAATCTAGTCTTTTAACTAATATCGTTTCTCGGAACTATCATGATGTGATCATCATTTAGTATTACTTTTGTTATTAAATTAAAAAGATTGGTGAGAGGAGGAAACCAGGGTTTTCTCGAAACGTACAAATAAATTTTACAATAAAATACTAATTTTTGATTTATTTATTCATGACCTACAGGCATATGAATCCTTTTTTTATTTTTATTTGTTATATATACTTTTAGATTATTATTTAGTTGTTATTTTGCTTTTATTTATTTCATATTTTCTACATATATAGAATGAACGTACTTCACTATAATCATTGCCCATGTTACCCATGAATGTTTTATAATTTAAAAAATAAAGTAATAATAACTAGTATTTATATTTAACTTGTTTATATATATATATATATATATATATATATATATGCCTATTTAATTATTTATTTATAATCTAGTCTTTGCTTAGCTCTGAACTGGGAAAAGATCAGCTTAGGATATTAACTTTATTATTTGTACTTCTAATAAGTACAATCCCCAACCGACTTATCTTACAAGAATCTATAGTCAAACAGTTCACTATCTTCGCAAATAAGTGTTAACAGGAAATTGTTCTTAAGATGCCTTAATTTCATAAAGTAAGCATTTAAAAATCATTTTACACAGACAATTCCATTTCATTCTGACCTATGATTATTCTTCATACGTTCCTAAGAATCCTGTAGAAGTTTTTTAAAAATGGCGAGATACTAGAGCTTTTTATACTACATAGCATATGACAGAAGAAGGGCGCTAGATAAGCCTGGGTGGCTGATCCCGCCCTGACAGTTCTCGGACAAATGAGGCCATCAGTCAGAGGAATGGTCGGATAGCCGGCGAAGAATTTGTCCTCGGATGACCCAATCAGTGGCAGGACACTGTTAGATGTCCTCCATCTCAACTCATACAGGATTCACCAGGAGTCACTCCATTCTCGTGGATAGTGTAACATAATGTTTTCAAGCCGTCATAATTTAATTAATAGTCTTAATTTTTCATTTTGTTTATTTCAAATTCTAATGTAGATGATGGAGTTGAGAATAGAAAAAAATAACTTTATATCTGGGACACAATAATTCAAAAATTTTAAAAAAAAAATTTGGTTTGTCCACTCCCACGTCTTTTCTACCTATTTCAGAAAAAAAAATTATATCTTTACATATGACCATCAAGACACCAAAAAAAACAAATTGAATTAGATTTATTTTCCTAAAAATTGGTCAAAGAAAACATTTGAGTACGATTTATTTGATAAACTAAGGCAATGTAAACCGGCTTAAGGTAGTTAAGTGTAAAAGTTTCAACACCATATATTGCGCAGTAGTTATTACGCATGGAGCACCCAATTCGTATCACAGGCATCAGTAGTCATAACCCTACAAAATAAAAAAAGGAGCAACAACATCGGTTCACTAGTTCCTGAAGAAATCTTGGCACAGACAGACAGACAGACCAATGGCTAAAAATGTGTTTTTCGGACTCTGAAACGAATAGATCCGTCGAAAACCGCATATCGGAAATTTAACCGGATTGCAATACTTTCCTTACCTACTATAGGTAGGAAAGTAAAAAGTGTAAAGACAAATAAACTTTAATTTTGGCCATAAGAACTATTAAAATACACGAATTACTAAAAGATAGGTATAATAATATAATATAAATATAAGTATAATGTGCCTATTTATCTAAGATTCAAACAAAAAGTAAACAGTGGTGAAACAATTGGTATGGTGTTTCACTACTGCTTATACAGAAAAAATAATGATAATTATAAATTAATATACATCAGTTATAATACAATATAAAAGTAAATATTGGAGACCGAAAAGAGTTCTTAAATTAATTTCCTATGTATAACATTTTAACAAAACAAAATAAATATATAAAATAGTGGTATACTTCTGTTATTTAAAAATTTAAAAAAATACTTATAACTGTATTTTAAAAATAGTGTAGTAATTTATATACAAAGATTAAAAAACTATTTACATAAAGGGTATTCCGTAAATAGAGGGAAATATTTAAAATTTTGATAGTAGACACCAAGATCTACAAAAAAATTTCATATTAACAATCGTCCGATTTCTAGCAAAAAAGTAAAAAATTTAAGATGTGTGTTTTTTTAAGCGTCGCGTTTTTGGTTGCATAGGAAGTGATGACTTAAAAAATATTAATACCTCAGATACCTAACTTTTATTAAAACTTGCTCGTTTAATAAGATTTAAGTCCATATTAATTAAGTTGAAGTTTGTTAGGACAAATTTTAGGATTCATCTCAAGTATCTGTATATTCAGAAAAATTGCTATAATTAACTGTTTCAAAGCTATTAATTCTTGTTTCTCCGTATTATGGGAGGTATTGTAACTAACATGATTGCCTGAAAACACATTTTATTTATAAAAATTAAAAATAATGATTTTCAAACATTTTTCATGTAAGGTGGTTATGAAATTGTGTTAACAATTTTCATTTAAATTTCTGTCATAGGAATTAATGTGTAGTTATAAGTGACCAACTTAATTTTTCTAGCCCTAATATTTACGTTTTCATTGAAAGTGATTGAAACAATCAGTAAATTTCAGTAATAAACATTAAGTTTGTCAATGATAAATACTTATCAATTCCTATGACTGAGATGTAGGAAAAAAACACAATGTAAGGTGGTTATACATGAAAAATCATTATTTTTAATTTTTATAAATTGTTCTTAGACAATTATTTTTATATCAGGAGAGCAGGACGGAATCTAGATAATAGATAATCTTGGATATTTTTTTTTTATTCTCTACTTAGAATTGCATAGCGGGATCTATTATAAAACCAACATCCGTGACTCGAGATTATTGCAGATTTCCAAAGCACGAGAAATTGGAATAAATTTTACAATGGTGTTCGTATAATGATAGAGTTATAAACAAATCGGTAACAATTCCAAGAACACACGTTGTTGCATTGGTAGAGGCACAATATTTATGGCTTGCATTCAGCGGAGAGATATTGCAACGAACCATGTGATTTGATCTTGCTCGAAATTGAAAAAAAAAATGCAGTTCCATCACTTCAGTTTTACCGAGTTATTTTAAAATTGAATACTTGATTGGAAAATCAGACTTTCCATGTCTACTTAGAACTTTACTTCTTGTTTATAAAAACGCAGATCTATGAGCTCTATGGGTGCTGACTTGAACCGAACACGTTAAAAATAAATCTACGACAAGAGATAAATATTAGTTTTTATTAAAAAAAACAAACAAAATGATAAAAATAATAATAAAAATTATTATTATTATTCTGTAGTGAGATTACATCTTCATGGGAAGATGAGAGGGCGTGGTCCATCCAATCTCTTGAATTTATGCCGAAAGGAAGAAAGTAATCTTCGCAACTACATCGTAAACCATAACTCCAATATCCCTTCAATTATTGCATCATTAGATATAAATTATACAGCTTTAAATTTACACAACCCTCAGATCCCGATTAATGATCCAGATGATGTCGATCTATCAGAAATATGGATTAATAAACCTTTACATGGACGATTTTCTCAATCATTAATGGATGCAGGAATGGACACGAAGGCGTCGTTGACATGGCTGAAGAGTGGTAGCATCTTTAAATAAACAAAAGGATTCTTGTTAGCTATTCAAGAACATGTAATAGCCACAAAACTATGAAAAATACATATATGTGGAGAGGGCATCAATGACTTATGACGCTTATGCAAAAAGGCAGTTGAATCAATTCAACATATAACATCGGGATGTACAGTACTTGCTGGTAAGGAATACTTGCAGAAACAACAATGCAGTTAAGGTAGTGCATCAAGATATGGCTCAGAAAATGGAACTCGTTGATAAATATTGTCCGTATTATAAATATCATCATCTTATGCGCAATGTAAAGGTGTTCTGGGATCAACTAATCCTGACAGATCACACCATTCTCCACAATAGTTCTGACATTCTTATAATAGATAAAGGTAAGCAATAAACATTTATCATAGAGATAAGCATTCCTTATGATGGACAACCTACACATGGTAGGAGCGGAAAAAAAAGAGAAAGTGCGTAGAATTAACTGAAGAGATAAAACAATTGTATCGTTTAAAGGAAACCCGAATTCTGTCAGTTGTGATCACATGAAACAGATTGATTCCAAAGGAAACTCTAATCTCTAAACTCTAAGGACTTGGCGAACCAAAACTTTAATGTCCATACTTCCAATCACTAGCAACATATTTACATCCATCGAATGTAAAATTCCTAGATTGTCTTAAATAAAATATTTGTAGATTACGATGAGGGGAAGCTATTCGCAGAGTTTTAGGGGATGTTAATAATTTGATAAAAAAAGGGGGTCTGTACAACGGACTACAAAGTTAGATATGTAGAAAGTTTTTTTTTTTTTTTTGGTAAAATTGATATTTTTTTTTATATTACGAAAAAATCTGTCACAATTAAGGACATTTATAATAGTGTTCAGAGAGCACATTCACATTCTCTTAACAAGAAATAAAAATAAATAATACATAAACATAATAATACTTAAAGTAAATGTGTATAAAAAAAAGAAATAAACTAATTAAAATACAGGACCTTAAAACAGTCGATTAATTTACAGTGAAGCCGTGGCTTACATCGCCATCAGGAGGTAACTTGAAAGGAGCTGGATGTGTGATCTTTCATAAATTAAGGGACTGAATGTGATAAGATGCTGCTGAGTACTATCCTTCCCCTTCCCAGCGTGCCTTAACTCTGAATACCTTTAAAAATAGCAAATGATCGAAATAGAGTTTACGTAAATATCTTAATATGAATATATATTATTTACATATATCGAAAACTTGAAACAATTTAAAATTATAATCCTATTGTAGCTTAATTTATTTTCTGTCTAGAGAAGAATACAAAACTAAGATTAAATATGTTTTCTAAGCCAACGGAAGGAGCTGATACCACCACGAGATGGTTTACCTGCATGTGAGATAAAGCTAGAATTTAATGCACCAGTTTCTGATTTGAAAGATAAGAGGCTTATTAAACTTTGTTTCCTAACAATTAGTTTTAGAGGTATCTAGGGATCTGGGCCGCTGTTCAACTGCACCATCCCCAATAGCTTTGTCAATTCCCATCTGCATGTTAATAATTTATTGGTAAAAACTATTCGAATCATAGATTATTTATTTTAATATATAAAGTAACTGATTGATTTATATAGTTATGTTCCTGGGGCCGGTGACAAAATATGGCACTTATTTTACCACAAGTATTGAAGATATATTATGAAAGTGCATTGCATTCTAAATTTTATCAACTATAAAATAAGACAAAGAGGAAACAAATTTGACATTTTACAAACGTATATTTTTTCAATTATAAGTGTACTTGAGAAGATTTTATTTTATTTTTTAATTGTTTACATACTATTACTTAAGTTGTTATATTTATTATTTGAATCTTTATTAGGTTAGTTTTTGGCCAGATATGTATTTTTTCTTTTGTAACTTTTCGTTATTGTTATTCTATGGGAACATCGTCCCAGAATAAAGTTTATTTTCTATTCTTTGTTGCATCAATTGTAATTTTCTGCTGAAAAATCACAAACAATCATTTTCACTAGAAAAGGAAATCGGAAAATGTAAATAATATGTCAATACATATGTTTAGGCAACTTTTCTAGTTTTTAATCAAGTCAAGGCAAATAACTCTCATGAGTTCTCGAATAGGCAACATTCAACTCTTATACATTAGACATTTTAATGGATTGGTAGGTTATACTGATTGTGCAATAATAGCTTACCATCTTTATGCCAACTCACTTCTCTTCATTACCTGAGAGCCCTCACGTGCCGTTGTTGATGTAATGCTGTCTCGGTGGTTAACAGTGGTGGAATGGGCCAACCGGAAACTGTGGAAAACCGGCAGGTCTTGAGAATTAAGTGTTATCTTTTAGATCTTCTGATCTGCCCCCACCACACGCCGTAACGCGTGAAATTCAAACCATTTTCGCACAAACAACATAAGTCTAAAAACAGAATTTTACAAAGAAATCAAAGTTGTTTGTCTTTTACTGGATAGAAAAAAAAAACATATGTAACAGTTAAAACAAGTTGTAAAAAACTGAACCTTTTAAAACTGTTCCACATTAAATCTGGGAACCAGATTGAAAAGTAATTCTCCTCGAACTACATACAAGACTCTAGTTAGATAAAAGCTAGAATATGGCTGCATCGTACATTCCCTAGTTAGCAGAAACGTATTAAATAAATTATATGCAGAACTTAGCTTTAAGACTATTGATAGCATTTAGTACAAGTGCGACATCTGCCTTATTAATTGTAAGTAAAACGGGAGAATTGCGATGGATTCTTAGAAGAAAAATCTTCGGTGTGCAGCAAAAATAATTTTAAAATTCTTTATAACGGTAATGACAACAATATTGAGCCTAATATATTATAAATACTTTTTTTTTCTCGTCATACTTGCATTTTAGAATGCACGTTTTTTTTTTGTTTTTTTTTTTAAGTGAGGCAAAATAGATTATTTATTAATAAAATAAAATAAAGTTAAAAGAAATTACCTAGTTTTACTTTTATAGGCGTTCCAGCTTGGGTTGCCTTTTACATCAGGGGTGAGCTCTAGAGGTCGCAGTCCAGCCAATCTCCATCCTGAAGACCTCGTCCCGCAATTTATTCCTCCACTCCACTAATCCATCTACTTCTGGGTCGTCCCCGTCTCCGTCTTCTCGGTGATTGCCAGTCAAGAACTCAAATCGGCCATCGCTCTGTCGACATTCCCCTTACATGGCCGTACCACCTTAGCCTTCACTGTCCGATTCTGTTTTTGACCGACATAAGAACCTCCTTCCTCTCCCGGATGACATCATTCCGAGGTCTGTCCATTCATGTTATAAGTAAGCATCTTTGCCAAAGGTCCAACTCCACTGCTTGATGCTTTGGATAGAGCAAATATGACATGTCCCATATTTTAGCTGGGTACTTTAGGGTGGGTTCGACGATGGCGTGGATGAAAGAAATTAAAAACCAAAATTTTATAAAAATGTCTCCCCTTTAAAGAAAAAATAAATAAATTCTGGATTCAGTACTGCATTGAATCATATAAAATTCAGAACAAAATTGTCGTTTTTATTTTAAATAGCTATTAAGTAACCTTTAGCAAAATTAATAAATAATTTGATGAATGTTTTCACTTTGAAATCAGAGTGCTCTTAGTTTAACAATTTGAATAATAATATGATTAGTTTTATTTGAAATATAGGACAGGACTTCACATAGAAGAACATGAATATGTTTAGCTTTATCATACTGGCTTTTAACGATAAACTGATAACATGATTTATATATATATATATATATATATATATATATATATATATATATATATATATATATATATATATATATATATATATATATATATTTCTATAACCTTTTCTGTCTACCTTATGGATATTATTAATTAATTATAAATTAACTATCTATTGCTATTTATCTTCCTGTCTATTGGTATCACATTCCCTGAAAAAGACCACTTATATTCAAACTGCATTATCTTAATTCGATAGACGAATAAGCTGCAATAAATAATTTATATGAATAGTTACTAGTTAACAACAGTTAACTAAAACCCATTAACAAATGGGGATCGATGGCTATAGAACTGATGAAACAGTCAACAAACAACAAAATATATTTATGTTTAAGGGATGTTGAATTATTCAGTAAAAAAGAACCCTCATAATTAAAAATAAAAAAATACGAACTACATAAAATAAACTCTCCAAAAATCGTATTATTTAACTAACGACTATTCCTTACTAGAAGCTTCAATAACTTGAACAATTGATAATTATAAATTTAATAATAAGATATCTCATTAATTATTTAATTGTTAATAAACGCAATGAGCTGAAAATGTATTTAACTATTAAATTAGTGAAGAACTATTATTTTAAAATATAATAAAACGCTTTTACTTGTTAATGGTGTGGATTGATGACTTCTATTGTTGAGAGTTGAAGTAGTTATAAATTCATATCGCTACCGTTAATGCAAAAGTTCGTATGTAACAATTTTTGTTCATTACATGTTTTTGCATGTTACATGTAAAAGTTTTGTTCTCTCTGCGCTAAACGTGACATTTTTTAGTATGCGACTGCTGTAACTAGTCTGTTAAATAGGAAAATAGCGAAGGGGAAAAAAATGAAATTTTACTAATAAATTATAAAGAAATAATTGTTCGTTAAGCTCATCAGTAAACAAAATCAATTTTTAGGTACGAACTTTTACACTAATAGTTGCGACATGTCTTGGCAGTTTTGGTATTATAGATAGATTGAGTTGTTTTCTATCCCCACTAGTCTGGTATTTTATCAAATTGAGGTGTTGCACTCCAAAGGTATGTATATATATATATATATATATATGTACATTTTTATTTCCCATGTTATAATACTATGTGTCATTTCCAATCATTTCCAATGCCATATTGGAGGAAGTTAATCGACTGTTCTACATATCATGGGTGATAAATATTCAGGGCGCAGTCATTATAAAGTTTTTATTAGTGCTGACGTTTCAACCAACTTATCACGTCGTGTTTTGAGCACTGAAGGCATTCAAGTACTGCTTTGGTAAGGTATTGAGTACTTGAATACCTTCAGTGCTCAAACCACGCCCTGATGATGACCCATATGTTTGGGTTGAAACGTCGGTCCTAATAAAAATTTTATAATGAATGTGTCCTGAATATTTATCACCCATGATATAATAACATTAGGTAATATCAATTTGTAAAACAATAAAAAGAGAAAATGGACTGGTTGATCAATATATATTCCCTAGGCTGTTTGTTGCTGAGTTACCACGGGGAAAATGAGTAACTGAATAAGAAATTCATCAACAAGGGTAGAGTGGATTAAAGAACCATTACCGAGTAATAAAGTTATCTTCTTTGTCAGCGGGGGCTTTAAAATGGATGCTCCGTTCGCGGGAAAAACTTTCAATTTTAACTTGTAATAATGACAAATAGTTTACCAAGAAGGCAACATCCATTTTAATTGGTATTGAATAAACGTATTTTCTTTTTCAAGGAGCACTGCGATAAAAAAAAAAAAGTAAACATATTACCCTGATCGATTTTCGTAGGAAGATCTATTTTTTTTTCAATTTGTATCTGCTTTATAATGTTGCCGAAAATCGGTCTTGGTCTTGCACTTTGCAAGACCAAGACCATGGCCACCTAACTGTTGCAAGACAAGACCAGGACTGGTAAAAGAAAAATCGATTTTTTGAATAAAAATAAAGGCGAATTCAAATTCTTCTTCTATCTAAAAATGACTGTAATATCTCTACACCAATAAGCTAAGAAATGACTGCAAGGCTGTTGTGAGACTCTTGCGCAAGACCCAGACCATGACCAAGAATGAGTTTGCAATACCAAGACTCGTCTCGGTCACGCATTTGGACAACACTCCTGCTTTAATATAATATTATTAAATAATCATTATTATTTTAAATTAGAAACCTTTTCTATCGATACAAGTAAAAAGAAATCACCACTCACTCCAAAAAAAAGTTTCGAAATACGGATAATTGAAAAATCGGAATAATGCTCGTCATATGCCATCAGCGACTTTCTTCCGAAACTTTCAAATCATTATACAAAAAATAAAAATATTTTAAACAAAAAAATCCTATTACTAATTGTAAGACTAAAAATAAATAACTAATTTTGCTAAAACATTATATTAGGCCGGAAAATAATTCCTTTCGGTTTTTCAGGATAAAATAAAATTCAATGTATCATAGAAATAAAATTTATTTTAACCTACAATTTATTGACCATTATTTAATATTACTTTTTCCCATCTTTCCACTGACTGCATAATGCCATGTTCATAGAATGTCAGGAGTATCTTGTTAAAAAAACTGATCCAAGTGGTTTTTAATGTCCTCTTCCTTTTGGAATGTCTTTCCATTCATGGAGTTCTGCTGATACCGGAATAAATGATAGTCACTTGGAGCTATGTCTGATCAATAGTGAGGGTGGGGCAAAAGGTCCCATCTAAGGCTCAATAATTTATTGCGAGTGACCAATGAGGTATGGGGCCTAGCGTTGTCTTGGTGGAACACAACACTCTTCCGTTCATTCATAACTCTTCAGGATATTCTCCAAATTCGATGTTACTATATCCGTTGGAATTATTATTCTTCAAAGAAGTATGAATAGTTTTTTTTTATTTAATTCATACATAAGGGATAAATAAAAACTCCTTATAGGTATTTATTTTCTATCTCCATTTGTAGTTTGTTTACTAAGGCCCTGTTGATGTTATTTTGTGTAGTTTATGTGGTACTAAATTCCTGCTTAATTTTTTTAGATAGCAAAAGTCTTATTGGAATTATAACATTTCTATGTAATTTTCGAAAAAAAATCATGTGAGGGAACTAAACATTTATGCTGGAAACATAGCCGAGCTGGTGCAAATGATTTTCTACGCTTGTGTGCCACACATTTAGGGCCATAGCAATCTCTCGCACTGATTGGGTGGGATTTCGATCAGCAATGGCCTTACCATTGTTCGTTTCTATTTTATCGGAGCGACCAGACCGTTGAGCATCATTGATGTCAAAATTTTCTGATTTAAATGTGGCAAACCAATTTTGATAAGTGCGTTCGTTTCATCCCCATAAACACTGCCGATTTTTCTATGAGCTTATGCAGCACGCTTACCTTTCTTAAAATAAAACAACAAAATATTTCGATAATGAGTGATATTGTCTTCCATATTCACAGTACAATAACAAACACAAGGCTAGATTCAGCAGAAGTTAACAGATATAGTTGTTGGCATATTATAGACAGGATAAACAATCAACCTTAGGTATTTTTTTTATCAAAAAGAACTTATTTGCTAACCTAATATTTTAAGATAATCTCATTCATGTGATAACCAGTGAGGCGATTTTTTAATCTTGTTATTCTTATAATATTTTATTAAAAATGCTCATTAATTTTTATTCATTTATATTTAGTTTGCCTATTATTTTTTAAGGAAAATATCCATTTTCGATAGCCAAATTATAACATTGATTATATAAAATAATACTAAAAATATTGACTTTTTGATATAACATGATGCTTCCCACATACCTAACTTGTTAGTCCCACAGAACCCATTCTTTTCACATTATTAACATTCGCCTAAAACTTTTTTTATCTTATTGAATTGGATAATTTAAATAAGAATTAAAATCTCATAAATACTTATTTGCTTTTCACCCTTGTTCACAAAATAAGTAAACAAACCTCATTTCTGTCGTGAATATATAAAATCACTATGTTTATTTTCAATTTCATTTTATATCTATGTTAGCATCAATCCAGTCCATATTTTAATATTATATTTAAAATATTTCTCTCTATTTATATTTCAACTCCCATCTATAAACAACTTGTCCTACAAAAATAAACGATAGATGGTGCTTGGCCCGTACAATAGTTGTATTTTTGTGAGCCATGGAAAGAATAATGCACAGTTATTAACATATAGTTTATTCCCTATGAATTTCTTTTTTTTTTATATTACCCTTTTGTAGGGCCTTTCATAAGAATTAAACTTCAATGGCAGTTTTATAACAATAAAAATGTATTGATTGGGTTTTATTTTAGAGAGAAAAAAGGTTTATGATTCGGGGAGAAGAAATTTCTAAAAAAAAATATACTGTAAAATATTTAATTTTTATTTACAACTATAGCAGTATAAAGTAAATTTATTTTAATTTGTATTCAGATAAAGCTTTTGATTAATTTCTTTTTTAAAATAAAAATTAAGAAATGTAAATTTCATTACCTTTCTTGAGTGCAGACAATTGAAATCTCTTAATTACATTTTATTAAACTTTGAAATATAATAGAAAATATAAGTTTTATAATTAATAGTCGTACAATCCATAATCAACGGATCGTACAATACATAATCAACGAATCGTATAATGCATAATCAACCGGTGATATAGTAAATAGGACTTTTGTTATTTTAATAGCATTTATGATTTGTCAGCTGTATTTTTTTAGCTGTAGCTCAGTTAAAAATGCAATTCAAAAATTTACCAATAATAGACCAACATGGCCAGAAAATAATTTCCATTCAAAGTTGAGCGGTAAGTGAAAGTTGTGTGTTGCGCGCACCAGATTTTTTTATCATAAGATTACTGCATTTCCATGTCTCTTGCCCCATTCTGACTGTTTATCTTTTAGCAAGTTCAAATTGATTATTTACTGTCATTAGTATGAATATTTTCACCTGGCTTCAGATTCTAGTGTTATATCACAATGCTAACCTCCAAATGCTCAGTATTTACTTCCTTTCGGAGGGAATGTTCTTGAAGATGTTGATAATCACTATCAGAAATCAAAATTCTATATCAATGTAAAATTAATTTTTTTTTTTATAAATTTATATAAAAACGTGTTAAAATATACATATTTTCCAAAATGTTAACTACGTTTTATTTAGTTTGACGACTAATTTTCTTCCTTCTTTCACAGTTAAACCTCTGGAGGTGAAGATACAGGACAGTAACCAACCTTTGTCTGCAGGAAGGCTCTACAACCTTCCTTGTACTTCCACTGGTTCAAGACCGCCTGCACAGCTGACCTGGTGGAAGGGAGATCACCGCCTCGATAAGACTAAGGAAACCGTGAGTATACATTAAGGAATATACAACATGATATACTATATATATATATATAAATATAAGGAATAAAAATGTAATGAAGAAATGAACTATTTACTACACAATAAGTAAGTAACTGATTCCATTCCAGGTCGTGATGGCCAAGCGTGTTAAAGTGTAAGCTTTAATATTCTCTAGCCCAACGACCCCGGTTCGAATCCTGCCTGAGTGGAAATAAATTTCGGCCTCCCCACTCTGGTCATAATAAGTTTGGTTCTTTCTCTCGAACAACTCCCCGTATGACAATAAATGATATATAGGAGTATCGAGGAAAAAAAAACTGATTTCATTCTTACTTAGAACAATCATAAAATAATGAAAAAAATCACAGCAGAATGTACTCGAACCGCAAAGTGTTTGACGACCCCTATTTTAGGCAAACGTTACAACATTTACTGGCCTGGTATAAAGTTTAATTAGTATGGCAGCTGAACATGAATCCCTGCCTATATGAGGCTCATGGATATCACTTTCTCATTTTAGATCTGAAAGCTAAAATCTGATAGCTTCAATAGCCCTCAGGTTAGCTACACCATGACTAATAGGATGTATCGCATGTCGTTAAACCAACGTGATGCTTTAAGTGCAGCTCTTATTACAGCATCCTATATAATGCACCCACTGGACTCGCCCTGTTATAATAGACTTTATGCATCCATTAACCACATTTCTGCGGTACCATATGTTTATTTCGTTGTAACCTTCATATAGGGTGTACTTAATCGCGTAGCGGTCCACTGGATTTCATAGGATACTTCTATTTAGAGAGGTATACTGCATAGCTTTAAACCTCAAGAGGTAATATTTTATGGATAGTGCATTGTTATACTATCTAGGGTTGCAGAAAGGTATAAAAAAAAAAACAACTGACACACTTAATAGCTTTCATATTTACTGAAATTATTTACAAAGATTCACAGTTGAAACAAAACTGTTTCTTAAATTCATCCAAATGTGTGGGGTTTAATTTTGCCGAAAAAAAAACAACAAAAATATATTGTTTTTTTTTTTTTTATTATAAGATACAAGTAGCTTTATACATAAAAACCCTAGGTTAAAATAAAGATGAACTGAAATACATGTTCTCTTTTTGCGGACGACTTATAGTCTTTTATTAAGTCACGTCAAACAATTAGTGAAAATAAATAAATAACTAAATTATATATATATATATATATATATATATATATATATATATATATATATATATATATATATATATATATATATATATACGACAGACAAAGTAATATAATTTTATTATAATAGAGATAAATACTTTATTTAAAGTTGTTCTACCATACCACATACACACACAATATTTATACTACCCACAGCCCCTATTTGATATAATACTAGCACATACAATATGTTATTACTATATTTTTCATTAATCACACGTCATTAATATAACGGGGAGCAGGGTAGCTCAGTGTGTGAACACTGACTTCCAGTCCTGAAGGTCCCAGGTTCGAATTCGGCTGATGAATAGTAATTTTTCATCAGCCATGGATCGATTCTCCAGGTGCACATCCACCCCCTACAAAGTGGGTATTCTGGGGTGGGAGGGGTGATAATTAAATAATTAATTAAGAAGGGAGAATCTGGCGGTTGAGCGTGATTTCGGCTCAATCATCCGTCTGCACAACTGTTGGTCTTGTAACAGTACTTCCTTACTTAGTACTGTACTCTCAAGAACCTTCATGAGTTATAGTGGTACAGGTTTTTTGTTAATATAACCTTATTAATTAACAAAAAAAAAAGAAAAGAAAAATTCAAACGCCTTAATAACAACAAGATTAAAACACACACATGGCAGCAAACATCAGTTTACGAATATAAAAAAAAATTATAAATATACTCTACAAAAATATAAACTAAAGTAGCCGTCAGGCACCGATGTGTAACGCTCGGGTAAAATCGGCTAGGGTTAATTAATTAAAATGTTTATGCATTTGTATTAAAATGTCTCAGAAACTAAAACTCGGATGTGCATGGGAAATGTTTAGCATTTTATTCTCTTCGTAATGAGTTGAAAATCAAAATTGTATTTGACATGACGCCAAGTCGGAAAGGTAAAACGATAACGCCAAAAAGTCAACGACTTTTTTAACATTTAGACAAAAATATCAACTTTTTATTACTATGGATAATTCAGAAACTGATTTTCGGATGTTAATGTAGATATTCTTTTTAATTAGGTATACAAATTAGAAATAAGAACTTATGTGTTTCTATTCAATTTCATGTTTCAATCGATAGAGACAAATTACTAATCTCTGTTACAGAAGTTATATTTAAAAATGACGGAATTCCAGTAGATGTTTAGCAAATAATTTTCAATCAAAAGTCTTCATCACATATTTTAGTTATGATAAAGCTGCTACATTATTTTTAGTGTTCGATACAAATGACGTTCAGTCAAAGTAAAATTTACAATTATAATTAATACACTATTATAATTTTATGTATTGGAAATATTATTACTTTGGGAATGTAGAAAAAAAAAATTGAGTTCGTATTATTATTAATCACTTCTATCGTGTGGTCTAAAGCACGCGATTTTTCCTCAACATTTTTAGAAATATCAAGTTGACTTCAACTGAATAATAATTCCTCCAATGAAGATAATACGCGTCTTATTAGATGACAAAATTTAATATTTTCCACTCACGGTTACCTTCAAGGCACTCGGGAAGTTAACTGGAAATTGTTTTTTGCCTATCGGATCCTAGTGGTGCCCTCAGTGGGCATTTTTTCCTCGGCCGAAACATGAAATAAGTTGATTAATCGGCTCTGAATTTGACAGGAGGAAAGGATTGGACACTTTTTCTGCAGCAGCTGGTTCCCGGGCCCATCGCCACAACACCGGATCCCCTCTTCAACCATTATTTTTTTTTTCGTTTAACTCCTTTTACTCGTTTTACATCCCAGATTATTCACGCTATTCGAATTTCCTAAAATATTTTCAACTCGGCGAAAACCGATCGATCAGCTCAACAGTTTACGAAATGTTACACAACCTATCACATTGGCAAACTTATACTGTACATTTCCTGAAGAAAAATGAATTCCGAAAGGCGAAACATAAAGATGGATACCATAATCATTAAAGAAATAAGATTCATCTTTACCTGCCTCCCAAGTCCAATTGTTTCTTCTGCTTGAGATTAAGAAAGAGTGAGAGAGAGTTATATAGGACAAGAGGTGAAAGGAGAAAAGAGGAAGGATTTCCTGAAGAAAGACTAAACTCTTGACCGTAAGAATTGGCAAGAAGTACAGATAAATATTTTCTGTCTGGGCCAGATGAATTAATGAGAATATCGGAGAGAACACTTTTTACAGTAGTAAAGAGAAGATAAAAACTATTGATATATAAAATTTACTAATTTTTTTGAGAGAGCTAACGTAGCAGCAGACATATTTAAGAAATAGACAAACGAAAGACGAACGGAAGGGATATTTTTTCGTAACGGCTAATTAAATAATAATAATGAATTGTTTTACTATCATATCTATCGGTGATTTATTACCAGATATCACACATATAACAGAACCATAATATGATACCGATGGCTAACAGCGTAATCATTGATTGAAGCTAAACGTCGTAAATTTAATTATTAGAATTACCAACATGGATAGTTAACCGTCAGTGGATCACCAATTTTATCAATAGTTTTTGCTAGTGAGTCAACAAATATTATATACATGTGCCGGTGATGGTTCCAATTGGTCTTAAGGGAAGAGAAAAACAATTTTTTATATTAAAAACAAAATAGTCTGTACTTTTTCCGCATTTCTATGTCTATACACTATATACACTAATCAATTTTATTTATTTTTAATTTTGAAGAATTAGAAAAATAGGTAAGCTACAATATTTAATGTATTAAAACAGATGTAATTTATTATAAATTACAGAAACCAAAAGACGCTTTCAGTAAAGTGAGCCAATGAATTTTTTGTTATTAAAAATAAGTTAGATTCATTTTTTTATGTCAGTTAAACTTTATAAAAATATATATATAATAAAAAGAATACAAATTTTATTTGATTTTTACACTTGTTACGTCCGGCCAATATGAAATAAATCAAATTTTAATTAAATAAACGAATCAGTTGTCCATTACAAGTGGGATTTTTATTTATTTTTTATAGCTGATCAATAATATAATTAAATTATAAAACGAGAAATAATCCCACATAAACATTTTACAAATTAAAAATATTTGAACAAGAAAAAAAATGTATTCTTCGTTTTGGCCTTTCTTACCATTTTAAAAATACAAACTTAAGAGAAAAACAGTTTAAAATATCTTAGTATACCAAACAATAAACAACTCGATTACAGAACATTTTAAAAATAATAATTTACTTAGAATCCTTTATAAATACAAGGTTTTAATACTTTCCCTATATTTCACATTTAATTTTCATTGGTATATTAAATGATTGAAGCATTGAATATAGATAAGTTATTAAAAAAATATTTATATTTATTTAAAACTAGGGGAAACCCTCTGTCCTCCTAACGGAAAGCTAATTCCCATTTCACAAATTTTACAACTGTTTATTTAATTGTAGTACTCGTTGCTCAAATTGTATAACTTTAATTTACATGTATTCTGCAGCTATTTATTAAGTATACTATTTTTTATCAGACTGAACGAAACTTTAGTTCGGAAATTTTAAAAAATTTTTAAAGGTGTATATTATATATCACGCCTTATTTCCAATTTATATCATTATATAATTACAATTATTTGTATTGCCAAGTTGAAACCATAATATATATTCAACTCGTCCAGCTTCACATCGGCCCAATAATCTATCCTTTTATATCTAATATTTTTATTCTACGTTATATTGTGCTATATTTTCTATATCGTAATAATTATGATTATATCACAATATAGTATAATAATTATAATTATATCACAATATAGTATAACAATTAATATATTGTATTCAAGGGG